CACAACACGCCCATTCTAACAGATTGTGGGATACTTTTTGGAAGATTCAACAGTATAAATGTGGTCCACAGCCTTAAGAGGGCAGATCGATATGGATATTTGCTCGCAAAACTGTGGTGGATCCTCAAATACCTCGGGCAACAATGCAGTCGCCAGTGGGATCTAGGATAGCTGATAATGAAAAGGAAACTTTGATTAATGAAGTTTAATCTCGCCTAACCTTAGGATCATGACGCGGGTGCTAAAAACAGTGCCCCGGGCGCTTTGATCCGGCGGGATTGAAGCTCCGCGAGACTTCACGGGAGCAGAAAACCATGAGAAGTCGTGAAAGAGGGAGAACCCGAGAGAGTAGAAGGCCGGGACTGCAAAATTTCGCAATCCGTGAGAAGGCAGCAAGATCTAAAGGGGCTATTTTGCACTAGTTCTTTTCTGAGAAGAGTTTTCTGATTCCCCTGTCTTTTCCACCCCTTTCTTTTGTGTAGAAGTTTTTCTGTCCAAGGGAGCCTATAAATAGTTCACTTAGGTGTGTCGGGAGTCAGTTCTTAGTGTATTTAGTTTCAGATACTCTGTGTGGAGTCACTTTACCCTTTGTGAGTTGCATCCGAGGAAATGGTATTGCTTTGGTTGTATCCTCTTTGAGATGACGATTGTATCCTCTTTTTTACCTTCCCCAAGCCTACTCCTCCCCACTCCTCAATCACTGAACTCTCCCTTTGTCACCTTGACAACCAGTCATTCCCCCTTCCTGCAGGTTATTATCGTTGTCTCGCCTTCCTAACTCCTTTCAAGCCCCACCCCCTACTGTTGCCGACTACCTAAACCCTTCCCATTTGTTATTCATACAATTTTGCACCCTCCCTTCGCCATCACCCGCCTCCCGTTGTTGTCGTCATCCCTTCCAATCATCCCTATCCCTCTAACTGACGTCCACCATCCGTTGGGAAACATTTAGAAGTGTTTGCTTGTGTTGTTTTATATTAGTGTCGTTATTTCCGTTCGAGTCATGTCGTAACCCTATTTTAATAATAATTAAAGTTTGTTTTTTGTGTTTCCATTATTTTTCCTACTAGTTCCAGTATCAATTACTCTTAAGGTTCTAATATTTATGTTTAGATTATATAAAATAATAAATAAATTGATTTTATCTAAATTACAAAATTTTTGTTGATGTATTGCTTTTAACTGACAACATAAAGTGATCTTAAGCTCTAGTAACAAATCTAATGTTGAATGCAGAAAGAAATCTAATACAAATCTAACATAATAAATCAACTTCGAAGTAACTAACATGGAAATTTAAGGAAAAACAATTTATCAATAAAAAAAAAAAAACACTTATCAATATGCATAGTCACTCAAAACTTATCAATATGCATAGTCACTCTTCAGTCACATGCCACCTGTAAGCTCGACCATAATGCGATTAGGCTAATATTGAAAAGGGACAGATGTAGAGCGAGCAATCAGGACGGGTGGGAGGTGAATTGAATATTTGATATTTCTAATAATATTGAAAAAAGTCAAATCCAATATAGGAATAAAGAGTTGTCATTCTAATAGAAATGAACAAACAAACAAAAAATATTGAAAATCATGCAAGTCAAACAAATTATGTAAATTTCATGTAAACAAAGAAAAATGAACTATTAACATCATATTTTGAGACTACAGGATTAAAGTTTGAATTTATGAGATTAGATATTGAGGCATTTTCTACTCATGAGGCAAGGCATAAGTCTAGAAACCAACAAAATGTGCAAAATACGTACAAGTAAAATTAATATATGCAGTAAGAAGCGCAATACTGCATCAAATTATCAAAGCATTATATAATGATAAAAAGAGCAAAACAAGATATTGAAGTAAGAGCATAACAAATCAAAAAAAGTTCATCTTAATAGATCTCCTTACCAAATCAATAATAACAAATAATTTAAGCCTATAAAATTAGAATTTATAAATTTAAAAGTTTCCTACACTCTCATTATTTAATACGCCTTCATTAAATTTATTATTATAATGAGTTTCTTTTGCTCGTGTCAATATCCTCTTAATCTTCCTCCTCAATTACCTTTCCTTTTCCTAATCAATAAAAACTAATAAGGATATTTCTTTAAGTTTAATAGTGGTTATACTGACAGTTACAACTTTAATTACATATATTTATTTAGAAATCTTTTCTGTTAATTTCTTGTTAACTTGTGTCGGATTTGAACGTCTTGCTTCTACCTCTATCGAAGAAATCGACTTTGAGAACTTCTAAATAATTTGAGAGTGTAGCCTCATTGTCATCCCCCATAAATCATTCATCATATATAGCACATCATTACAAAATAACAGGTCTTCATCATCCTCAAATTTTTTTTTCTTCAAATATTAATCTTTTAAATATCTTTAAACTCTTCCTCCCAAATGGAGAGGACCTTATTTTGATCCACATTTGGCTACTTATTTTAAGAAAACAGTGTTTTCACTCCAACTACTTCAAAGTAAACAACAACAAACATTGATTTCAACAGTAGAATTTTTTTAGTTTGCAACCATTCTCTTGATCCACCATTAGCAATTGCGCCAAGCTATCAAGCTCAAATTGAACTAATTGAATTGAGAGCTTAAGTCGTGCACTCTATTATCATCATTATCTCACTGACGATCACCCATCAAAGTTTAACTTCCTAATGCACATAATGTTCCAGTCTCTTGCCTTTTCTCGTGTACTAGCTCTTCCTCTCATTGTTCCCACCATATCTATACAAGAGTGCAAGAAAAACGTTTATATAAATTTTGGTATTGGTTATGGATTCAAGAAAAGATAAATTGAGGATAAGTGGAAGAAAGGGAAAGACAAAAATAATTCTTAAGAGTTAGTTTCCCTTCAGTTGCATGCTTGGACAAAATTCTGGGAATGATCCTGAAAATAAGTATTCATTCATCCTCAAATATATGGTATTTAGCAATACTTCCAGTTATAGTCTCCATGATAGATGACTCTCAGCTACCGATTCTCCAAGGCAATCATGTTAGACTGTTAAATGTATTAACCGAACAAGGAGGTAAATGACATCGCTCAAATGTTGAAAATATGATCTTCAATAAATAACCAACAATTTTGTCGACCTTAGTGTGATTTTTCAACAATTCAGCCAAAATGCTCAGGCTGCCACATTCACGCAGACAATGGAAGAACTTGATCTGGATATTCCAGCCGGTTCTTGGATTTAACCCAATTGAAGATAGTGGGCTAAATTTTTTTCCATGAAGTAATAACATTGTTCTTGCTTAAATTCACTGAAATTTGATTTCCTAAAATACGTATGACTGAAATTTTCTAGCCTTAAAATTATTGAAACTTACAATGGCCCAATTCTTCCCAGCACACACACTTTGAATTTGGTTAGTTAAGTGACTGCTTCCATTGCATCACCTTTCTGATATACCCAATTCTTCAATGGAGATTTTATCGGTATTTTCCCAAAAAATCTGGTTTAATGGTTTTCACAGGTTTCAGGAAATGCCATTATAAAGCAGGTTTCATTCAAAAATCCTGCTTTAGGTTGCTGGGATTGCACTTCTAGATGTTCGTAGATGGCAGCAATTCTGTTGGTTGGTATTTCTTGCTCCTGAACATGGTTGGATAGCAAAATTGAAATAATTAAGATAAAAAAATAGAAAGGTAGATTGTTGTTTCCAAGAAAAATTATCAACGTAAAATTAAAACTAGAAAGCAGAGAACCAAGTTCTGTGGCCTTTTCTTGATGAAGAACATGATAACGACTTCAGGATTCTTGAATTTCTATGATGTATACTTCAAAGTGGTCTCAGCATATACATCTGCTAAACTCTACCTTGATTTGGAACACTTGGCACAGCAAGAATAGTGAACAAACCCTTTCCCAAATCTCAAAACAGTCACTGAACAGTTGCTAGGATGTTGATTTCGAATGTTGGAATCAATTTTTGCAAATCCTTGGACTCCGCTATGATTTCCAAACTTGACATAATCTGTTCTGCTGCTATTTTGGATTTCTTGCAGCAAGAATTTGGGTAGAAAGCCACAGCAAATGCAGAAAAAGGATTCAAGAATGCTATGGAGGAAAGAAAGAAGTTTGGTTGATCAATTTGGTGAAATCCCAGACTTCACTACAATCCCTTCCCCTTCTCACCTCTACCAAACTTGGGAAGTGAATCCTCACTTCAGCTCAGGACAGCCTAAAAGAAACCACTCCAAAAGAACCCTTATTCCTTCCAAATAAATGCCTATGGGAAAACTATTCCAAATAACCCTTAGACCTTTAGTTACTAAATTATCATCAGGAAGAAAATTAAAAGAAAAGATATCGTCTAATAACTAATTAATTATGAAAAGACCACACTTAACACTATGCTAGTAAATCTCCCATCTTTTGTGTAAATTTGGTCTGACAAATCTTATTCTTAATTTATGAACATGTCATTTACTTTATTTGACATCAAGTTTCATTTCCGGATGTCACATGGCCCATTGAACAGGGCGTTCCTGCTTTTGTTGGCGGTATCATCCTATATATCCCAGATGTGTGTCCCTTATGCATTTGAAGAGGTCCTGACCGACCTTGAGGATGCTTTATGCTTTAATTGATGCAAATGTCATTTTCTTCTCAACACATTAATTCCTGAACTTCATCTGAGCTGAGCCAAGTAAATAGATTACTTGGGCTGTGGGACCAAACCTACAATCATTATTAAGCGATCTCCAAATGACAAGTTACCTGTGTCATGTCAAGCAATCCAACTACTCTGAGCCAAGCAAGCTCTTTTAGCCAAATCTAACCAAACTAGATCTTGTATCACCCTATTCAGGCATCTTATGCCTGACTGGATTATACCGTATATGCAACTTAATTATCTGAAAACCTTCAATATCTTATTTTCTGGACTCGGGCAAGCTTAAAATAAGTTTAAACCTACACAAACTTGAAAGTAAAAGTAGAAGTATGTATCATAGTTTCACTTAACAACACCTGGTACAAAATACTCTTCACTGATTCTTTTGTGGCAACTGCATTGTAGAAAACTTTTCCGATCTCCGTATTTCTGTCAATGATCAAAAGCAGCATCTCAAATCAATCAAATCAAGACATAACCACCTCTTTTATATTCCTAAACAAGTCATCATGTACCGCAGTAAGCTCTGAAATGACTTGATGAAAGGCCTTCCATACCATGGCTGCTTCTTAATATGAAGCCTCCTCAGAGAAATGTTCAGTAAAAAGATTCCTTTACAAATCTGAGGCTCCATAATGGCTGCCTGAAGGCCGACCACCCCTGTAAAATAGCAAAAAATCCACTTGGAAACAAATGGGTGGCCACAATAGATACTGATTTAGCATCTTAGCCATTTTGTTCAGTTGGCCAAGTTTTGCAAGGAGAAAAAACTAAAAATAAAGGAAAATTTTTAGAGCAAATGCAGACATACCTCCGATAGAGTTGCATATAAAGAATGCATCATCTTTCACCACATCAGCACAAAATTCATTTAGCTGAGCTGCCCACGTTTCAAAGGTGTAGAAAGAGTTTGCCCCAAATTCCCGAGGATTTGGTTTTTCCGAATAACCATAACCAATAAGATCAATTGAGTACACCCTATTTGTCTTTGAAAGAAAAGAAATGTTTTTCCTCCAATGGTCGCTGTGGGAGAAAAACCATCTAAGAAAACAATTGGCATATTACAAGCAGACTGCCAAGAAAAGGTAATAGTAAGCATGAGAAACAAAATAAAAGCAAAAGCTATAACCGCCTCCTCTTCATACTCCACTGTAAAGAGAGAAAAAAGGCTTTTTTAAACATTTAGTTTTGCTCGTTCACTAGTATGCTTTCTTATAGTGGTTTCAAATTTTAAAGTATGTTGAGCTGGATTTGTGATTTTATGCCAATACATATCTATGACCAAGACTCTACATTTTTTTGTTGAGTGTATTGCTGGTAATCGTATTCTGCATCCATTGAAAATTGTTGATATAATTACGATAGACGATTAAGTTAGTATTGTAGTATTAGAGTCTGAATTAGCTTTTGGCTTTGAAATAAAAGATTTAGGTCTACGTTATTATTGCTTGGATAATGATGCAGCTCATTCTCCTAAAACCTATCCTCTCTAATAGCTTAAGTATGTAACTGATATCCTTAAGCGTGCACAGCTTACAATTACTAGGATAGTTGATAAATCAATGTTTATCTCCTTCAGATGGCACATCTTTAACTATTCTTATTTTACATCTTACTATTCTTGGTAGCTTGATTTATCTTACTATCAAATATTATCAATGTTGTTCACATTTTCAGTTCATTTGTTTCTTCTCCACGCAGCGTTTATTGAATTGTCATTCTTCAAATTTTGTGATATTTTCAGGGGACATTTTTTCAGTCTCTTATTTTTATCAACATCTTCTTTGGATGTGCACGCTTACTTTGATGTTGTTTGAACTAGAAATCCAGTAGACTGCAAATCTACTACCGTTTTTTACATTTTTCTAGCATAGTCTCATTTCTTGAGAAAAAAAAAACAAAAGAAACAAAGTGTTGTTTCTTGATCTTTCATAGAAGCTGTGCATCATGCTATGGCCTATACAGGAAGGGAGATAATTTGATTAATGTGGTTGCTTGCTAATGTGTATTGTTCTTTCTAATCTACTCATATGTATTTTGACAATAAAAATGCTATCCATATTTCTTACAAGTAAATTTTTCAAGGGAGAATTAAACATATCAAGAACTGGTTGTCATCTCACCCAATATCAACATCATAAAGGCACCCTTAGCTTGCCCTTTGTTTCTTTTTCTATGCATATTATAGACTTAAATATGAATTCCTATCAACTTTGGTGTTTTCACTTTTTGATGCTTCATACAACAATATCCTAAGTTTGTGGGGGGAAAAGATTTCAAAATTATTTATTGACATATTAATAATAGAACATGTGTATAATATCTATAAAAGGAATCTATAGCTCTTACTATTATAACATATCTTCATTATTAATGGTATTTTTATTTATCAAGTTTTCTATTGCTACTTTCTCGTTGCTTATATATATGCACTACTGTATCAACATATTATTCGAGTCAATAAAGAGTATCACATATCCAAATTATCTATCATGATTAATGTGAGACAAAACCAAATGGTTGACAATAAAACTAATTAAGGACCCACTCAGGTAAAGTAGTAAATTACTACTGTCCTTAGCTACATATCTACACAGTGATGAAGAAAGTTATTGTAAAATATAAATTATGCAAAAAAGGTGAAAAAGATAGAAGAGGACTTATTCTTATTGATACAAGAGGGGTATAAATACCTATACAAGACTTATTGGCAAGAAAAGCAATAAAAACAGAATACAGTAGGTAAGTAAAGAAATAATAACAAATATAATAGACAGCTAATCTCTCTAATTAAGGAGACAAAATATATAGAGATTCCTAAGATCCATCATATAATTTATAACCTTCTAAATATAGAGTTATCATAATTATGAAATATAATCATCATTGTTTGCGAGATCTTTCAACACTCACCCTCAAGCTGGCATGAAAATGTCACTCATGGCAAGCTTGCTAACTAGATTTTCATGTTGCATTTTGAAAAGGACTTTTGTTAGAATATCTGTTGTTTGGCTAGCAGTGGGTATGTAGGACATACATATCACTATCTTCTCATTGATGAAATGTTTGTCAACCTCTACATGTTTTATTCTGTCGTATAGAACTGGATTATGAGCTATAGAGATTGCAGCCTTGTTATCGCAGTAAACTTTAATAGGTGTTGGTATAGGAATCTTCAACTCTTCCAGGAGTCTTTTTATCCATAATATTTCATAGAGTCCATGGGCCACCGAGCATAATTCTGCTTCAACACTACTTCTTGCTACCACACTTTGTTTTTTACTTTTCCAAGTAACCAGATTTCCGCCTACAAAGGTACAATAACCTGATGTGGATCTTCTATCATTTACATCTCCTGCCTAATCTGAATCTGTGTATGCCTCTATTAGATGTTCTCCCTTTTTGAACAAAAGTCATTTTCCAGGAGTTCTTTTGAGATATCTCAAAAGAGATATCTCAAAATTAAAGTGACTAGGTCCAGGTGAATGCATGAATTGACTCACAACACTTACTGCAAAAGCTGTCAGGTCCAGTGTGAGCCAAATAGATTAGTCACCCTACCAATCTTTGATAGCGTTCTTTGTCCATTACCTCATTAGTTGTTGTTGTTTTCAATTTTATATTAGGTTCTATTGGCTTATATGTGCGTATATGTTGCATTGCAACCTGTCATTCATGTTTCTTTTAGTAAATCAAGTACATACTTGCATTGATTGACAAAAATTCCCTCCTTGAATCTTGCAAACTCCATTCCGAGGAAAAATTTCAGCTTTCCTAAGTTTTTAATATCAAATTCGGTTTCAAGTTTCCTCTTTAGGTTGCTAATCTCCAGAGGATCATCCCCTGTCATGATTATGTAATCTACATACACAATCACAATGGTTACTTTACCTTTAATGGAATGTTTGAAATAAAAAGTGTGATCAACTTGACTTTGAGAGGATCCATGTCTCTTGATAACATCACCAAAACGCTCAAACCAAGCTCTAGGAGACTGCTTTAACCCGTACAGGGACTTTTTTAATTTGCATACTTTACCTTTTCCAAATTTTTCTTCAAATCCGGGTGGTAGGTCCATACATACTTCTTCTCGCAATTCTCCATTTAAAAACACATTTTTTACATCAAATTGATGAAGTGGTCAGTTGATGTTAACTGTAAGAGAAAGAACTACTCTAATAGAGCTAATTTTAGCAATAGGAGCAAAAGTCTCTTGGTAATCAATACCATGAGTTTGAGTAAATCAGTTTGCTACTAGTCACAATTTGTATCTCTCCACACTTCCATCAGCTTTAAACTTTACCGTGAACACCCATTTACACCCAACTATCTTCTTGTCTTTAAGTAGATCAATGACTGTCCAGGAGTTATTTCTTTTAAGAGCATTTATTTCTTCCATCACAGCTAATTTTCAACTCGGTTCACTTAATGCTTCCTGAATAGTTCTTGGAACAAGTAAGTTAGAAAACCTAGACACAAATGCTCTATGATTTTTTGATAGTTTTTCATATGACAAGTATTGTGTGATATGATGTTTCGTGTTTGTTCGGATTCCTTTTCTGAAAGCAATTGGAAGATCAAGATCAGAATGTGGATGAGTGAAAGTAAAGGGAAGATTACTCTGAGTTGTAGGGTCATTATTCGGCAAAAGTGATTGAACATCTGCTGAGGGAATAATTGGGGTTGTAGTAACTTTATGGAATTTTTTCCTAGTATAAACTTGCAGCTCATGTTGAGGATTAAGATCCGTTGAAAGTATTTCTCCCCCTCTCTGATAAGGTATTATCTGGCAAAATAGAATTACTAGTGCTGACCCTAGTTTCCATATTTGAATTAGTTAAAGGAATGGGTAAAGTTTCACAAAAATTATTTTCTTCAACTAAGTTCTCCCCTTGAAGAAAATTATTTTGAAAAAAAACGGGTGATCCTCGATAAACTTGACATCCATGCGCTCAAAAAAAATTTTTTTTTCAGGATTAAAGCATTTGTACCCACTTTTATTGGAAGTATACCCAATAAAAACATATTTTTCGGTTTTGGGATCAAATTTTGAGCGAAACACATTTGGGATATGCACATAACAAACACATCCAAAGACTTTTAAAGGGAGATCAGCTGTTATCTTAAATGTGGAAAAATAATTTTTTAAGACTTGTAAATGTGATTTAAATTTTAGAACTCGAGATAACATTCTGTTTATTAAATAACAGGAGGTGAGGAGTGTATTACCCCAAAGATATTTAAGAAATTTCATGAAAAACATAAACGCCCTGGTAACTTCGAGTAAATGTCTATTTTTTCTTTCAGCAATACTTATTTTTTGTGGTGTGTCACGACAAGTGGATTGATGCAAAATACATTTTTCTAAATAAATGTTCTCAAATATTTGTTGAAATATTCAGTCTCATTATTCGTTCTTAGAATGTCAATTTTTGTTTGAAATTGATTTTCAATCATGTGAAAAAAATCTTTAAATCGTTGTTCAACTTCAGATTTCTTTTCCAAAAAATACACCCAGAAAACTCGTGTGTGATCATCAATAAATGTTACAAACCATTTTTTTCCCGACAGTGTGTTAACTTTAAATGAGCCCCAAACATCACTATGCATCAAATAAAATGGTTTTGAAACAGAACATAATTTTATTGGAAACGAAACACAATGTCTTTCAGATAAATTACACGCTTCACAATGAAGTTTTGAACAATCAATACTTTTAAATAGTTTAGGAAATAAAGATTTGAGATATGAAAGATATATTTGAGATATGAAAAGTTAGGATGCCCTAATCTTTTATGCCATAACATAACCTGATCATAGTCAAAGCTTGAACTTATACTACATAATCCATGAGCTGTTTTATTCACAGAATCAGTTCCATCATAGTAGTACAACCCATTTATTTCTCTAGCAGTTCCAATCATCTTCCCCGAGTTTCGGTCATGAAAAACCCAATTGGAAGGAAAGAAAAAAATGGAATTATCATAATTTTTAGACAATTTGCTAACAGAAAGAAGATTACATGTAAGTTTTGGAACATGTAAGACAGATTCAAAGAGATTTTTTCTGAAATTTTAATATTTTCTTTTCTTGCAATAGGTGAAAAACTGTCATCAGTAATTCTGATTTTTTCGGAACCGAAACATAGATAATATGAATCAAATAATTGAGAACAGCTTGTCATATAATCAGAGGCTCCTAAATCAATGATCCAAGACGTGGTACTTCCTAGAAAAGCCAAAGGATTACTATCTGCTTGTGATATAGAACTGATAGGCGCATTAGATGATGAGCAAGATGACTTAATTGATAGGTGCATTAGAAGATGACTTAATTGCTCTTTACTAAGTGGAGATGACTCAACTTCATTTGCGGTAGGTGTGTTATGTTCACCAGATTTTTTTCCCTTACCCCATTAGGTGGTTTCCATTAGGTGGTTTACCATGCAATTTCCAGCATTTTCGTGAGTATGGTTTGGCTTTCCACAGTACACAGCGCAGGTTGTTTTTGTCTTCTACACGCTAGTTGTGAGAAGTTTTCCTGTTTACTTGAGCTTCAGGAATGTCTTCTACACGCTAGTTGTGAGAAGTTTTCCTGTTTACTTGAGCTTCAGGAATAGCCAGCGCTGATCCTTCCACGGACTCGGTTGAACCTGTCGTCCTCTTTCCCAACAACACATGTCTCAGACTCTCTTCTCTCCCTACCTCTGCAAAAACTTCACCAATTGGAGGCAGGGATCTTCTTCCAATTATTCGGCCACGGACCTCATCATATTCAACGTTTAGACCTACAAAAAATTTGAAGATTCAGTCAGTATCCACTATTTTCTTGTACTGGTTGTCGTCATCTTTTGATTTCCACTCATGATCGTTGAATAAGTCAAGGTCCTGCCAAATCCTTTTAAGAGAATTGAAATACTTTGTCACAAAATCCTCACTTTGGCAAATTTCCCCAAGTCGTAGGGTCAACTCATAAACTTGGGATTGATTTCCAAGATCAGAGTGATTTCAACTTGGGATTGATTTCCAAGATCAGAGTACATTCCTGAAACATTGTCCCATAATTTCTTGGCTATAGAGTAACAGAGATGATTTACACTTATCTCTTCAGTCATGAAATTGACCAACTATGTCATTACCATTGAGTTTTCCGCATCCAAAACGGCATACATTATGTCATTCATGTCAGGTTGTTTAGTATCACCTGTGATATAGCCAATCTTTCCTCTTCCTCAGAGATACATGCGAACAGATTGTGACCATCGAAGAAAATTATCACCATTTAGTCGGATTGCAGTGATCTGAATGGGATGATTTTCAGATGTATTTCTGTGACCTTCGGGCTGAGATGGTTGAATTGTCCTAGACGTGACTTCAGACATTTTACGTGACTTCAGACATTTTAGAGATGAAGGATGGTGAATTTGCTCGAGCACGTATTGTCTAGGAGTTTGCAGCAGGAACCCGTCGAGCGAGCAAACCGAGCAGGAAGCCGAATTAACAAAGCCAAACGCTCGAGGAATCCCGAACGAAGGCAAATCAAGCAAAGTCGAATGAACGAAGTCGAACGAAAAGACGATCGAGGAGTCCCGAAAGAAGCAGGCGAGGGTTTGGCTGAAGTTGCCAGCGAGACGTGATCCTCTCGAGCTCTGGTCGCAGTTGCTTCGCGGAGTTCCGGGTCTCTGCGCCGAAGGATTTCGAGATGACGACGAAGTAGAAGAATGGAAAGGCGGAGTTCCGAGTCTCTGCGCCGATCACGATTCCGTCTGCGTCAAAGGACTTCCAGGCAACGACGACGATCCTGTCTGAGTCGATCAATCACGATCCCGTCTGTGCCGAAGGACTTTAACGATGAATACGATACGATACGTAAATTAACCGAACGACTGCGGATCGTAATTTTTTATACCATGAAAAAGATATAAGAGGACTTATTCTTATTGATACAAAGAGGGATATAAATACCCATTACAGGACTTATTGGTAAAGAAAGCAATAAAAACATAATACAGTAGATAAGGAAAGAAATGATAACAAATATAATAGGCAGCTAATCTCTCTAATTAAGGAGACAAAATAAAAAGAGATTCCTAAGATTCTTCATATAATTTATAACCCTCTAAATATAGTGTTATGATAAATATGAAATATAATCATCATTATTTACGAGATCTTTCAACAAAAGGAAGGTAGTGATTGCAATCAAAATGTTTGGGTAATTCACTCATCAGGAAAAGCTAAGAAAATCATGACTATTCAAGATCATGAAGAGCCGGAATAAAAAAGAAAAAAAAAGGTAAATTAAACATTAGATATGAGATTGGGCAAAAGCACCCTCCTATATGAGAGTATGAAAATTAAAAAGTGAAGGAAAGGGAAAAAAAAGTGCAATGATGGCGAAGACAAACGTCCAACAAGAGGCAAAAACAATCAATAAAAGGAGAAAGCAATCCAGCAACAATATCAAGTAAGAATCAAATGAAACAGAAGTGGGTCCACCACATTAATAAGAAAGCAAGTAAAAGAAAATTCAAAAAGGATTAGAAAGTGAAAACTTAAAATGTGGTCATTAAGTTTATTAACTGACAGTAAGCAATTTTTACACTTATAGATCGAGACTAAGTTACGGATATAGAGGTGGAAGGAATTGAGACTTCATACGTGAATCTCAATGGTTCATCTAATAAACACATGGCCCGGACCAATCATAATGCGTCGGTTCAGAATTTAATCTGATTGCAAGATCGAGAGCTAAAACTAGAGTTTGCATAATCAGGTCCGTAGGTAACTTCTGTATTTGGACATTAATTATATCTAGGACCATTTTAATGGATGCAGAAGCAAATCTAAAGAGGATGACTCCTTCAAGCAGTAAGAAAATTTGAATGTCAGAATTACCCTGCACGACTAACCAGAACCTACAATAATAATAGCATGCCTCTTTGAGAAAAAGCAACAACCAAGAATAAAGAAGATCACAATAAGTGCACAACATAATAGAATTTTTTGCAACATACACCTTGTGATTGACATAACATGATAAACATGATGACTAGATCTTATGGAAACAAGCAGGACCAAAAAAGGGCAAAGCCTGATGTTATCAGTTGCAAAAGACCTTAGATACACGGGAAAGCTTTAAGATCAAACAAAACAAAAAATATGCAAATGAAAGGCTCATCCAACATAATTGTCTGAAAATCACAATTAAAATAAAAACAGTAATGAAATGCACCTGTTTGCCCCAAAACCATGAATTAAAATCAGTGCAGGGCCACTTTTTCCAGAAGACAGATAACGTATGCGATAGCCTCTCCAATTCCATATGCTGCAAATAGGCATACGAAATTAACATTTCAAGGACCCATAAGATCATCGTTTTAAGCCCAAATTTATTTTGGTTCATGGATAAAACTCGTGCAGTTTACGTCAGTTTAGTAAACAACAAAGAATGGATATGTACGGTTGCTTTCAATTTATGAAAAGGTCCCTAAAATCATGGACCTGCTGCTTGTTTGGAACGCAACAACCCTAGGCAGTAAGTAAAATTCACTTCTTAACGCATTGTAAAACTCCACACCAATGGCAAAGTAAAAATAATTCCTAAACTCTATAAAACACTCCTCATATATTGATAAAAAATCTACAGAGGGTGCAAGAATCTTACAATTTTTTCTGTAAGATTCTTTGCAGAAAACCGTCATATGCTTTTTTTTTTTGGGTTAGTAAGAGCTTGCTAAATAAAATCTAAAACTTATGAATTAGAATGATGTGAATCTACTTATAGAAAATTTGTAGCCAACAGTGAATTAATTAAAGGAAGTTAATCAGTTTAAGGAGTTGTATTATATGAATACCTCATTTGGGGAGGAGGATGATATGACCCCTTATTATCTTTACATTTTCTTCTTTCTCTGGGAGTGTTTACAAGCTCAAAGTGTTTGATGAAGGATTCTTTCATAGGTGCACTTGTTGAGAAAAAGTGCAACCAGCGAATCTCTTCCTGAATGTATTTGTCACCAGCAGTCAAGCTCATCCAGCTTTTAGATCACACAAGTTTTCCTCAAGGAAACCACCTATGAACCGATAGTTTCTCACGCAATCGCCCATATTTTGTCATTTTTTCTACAAACAACCCTTCACCTAAGCCACTAGCCACCTCGGATGCAAATCATGTCAACCATCCATGTCTCCAAGATTGCACCTCCAAGATCCATCCATATCGCAATTCTCTCAAACAAAAACCTGCAGTTCTCCCCATCTAGGGCTGTCAAAACGGCTCGTTGTTCGCGAACAACTCGTGTTCGGCTCGTTAAGAAGCTCATGCTCTGCTCGTTAATTTTGTTCGATAAGTTAACGAGCCGAACACGAACTAAGATGTATTCGCTCGTTTTCGGCTCGTTTGGCTCGATATACTACTCATCAAGTTTATATATATATATATTAAGTAGTATATTAAAAAATCCTAATTGACTAAAAGGCTACAAAGACTTATAATCAATTAAAATATTGATTAAGAAAATAGAATAAAAATTATTAAATTAGATTCAAATGATGTTTTAATATAAATAATAATTTTTAAATCTTGCTAAAATATTTATTGTCTTATGGGTACATTATTAGAGTTGTTAAAAGGACTCTTTGTTCCTGAAGAGCTCGGGGTCGGCGCAGCACGAACACACTTTTTGAGCTCGAAATATAAACGAGCCGAACACGAGCGAGTCTCGTGTTCAACTCGTTTACACCCCTATCCCCATCTACAATCGCCTGGCTATCATTGATCCCAATACAGATATCACAAATCTCACCGAACATTGCAAGAACCGCCAAATCTTTCCATTTTGCCACCTTCCAAGCCGCCAAATCTTTCCATTTCGCCACCTTCCACGCCACCGACACAGATATCACAAACTCCAGGACTGCCATCAAGTCGACCTCAAGAATCTCCTTTGCAACTCATGTCTCGGAGCTTTGATGTTCAATCAAGGCTTCCATTGATTCGTCCTCACCAAGCTTGGCTGTCAAAACTAAGATCTCATCTCAGTTTCTCGAATCCCATGCAAACCCTCCATGCCTTATTCCTTATGGCATGCTTTGCACTCTCCTTGTCAATCTCAGATCTTCCAACTCCTCCCAAGCTCATGTCTTTCCTTGCAGCATATCCAACATCACCATCGACCTAAGATTGTGCCTTCTAAGTCAAAGCACAAACTTCTTACCATTAATTTTTTTCTCAAATTTATTTGTCTATTGCAAAAAATTCCTGATATTTGTTTAAATATTTCCCAATGAAGCCGTAAAAAATACGTCGATAATGAAAATTTGCGCCCAGCTCTTCTATGAGAGTTGTGATTTCTAGTCAAATGTTTTGAAGGCATCATGAATCTTGAATAAAATACTATCCAAATATTTCACAATCATTTTGCAAGGATTTTAAAATATGATAGTATGTTTCTCATATATGCAATCCTCTAGGATCAATCATTTGCTCTCAATCACCAAAAAAAAAGGTTTCAATTAAGATCAATCAGTAAAATTTAAACAGTTAGCACATGATATTAGTATTTCTACTTTTAGATTGAAAAATTTGTCTAATAAAGTGGTGGGAGGAACAATAGGGAACTTGATTAAAATCCCTTGTTTCAATCGTCCTAAATTATCGTAAGCAACGGTCTAATTAATCAATGGAGTTAGTTGGCCCCAACCTGACTGAAAAATCATTATCAGAAACCACAAATTATATAATCTCAGGGCCTTGTAGATCTTGGATAGATATTTGCCAAAGAATATATTTTCAAGTCGATTGAAGCTAATAGAATGCTTTTTGCCCCCATCAAATGCACTCTATAATTTGTTATATAGGGGATTTGGGTTGTAAGGGTAACAATGACATTTTACAACGAACAACCCAAATAATAATCTTTCATTTTAATAATGGCACTTGGCAACAAAATCATAATGTTAGAAAATCTATGTCACATCCTCATTGGAAAGAAAATTTTGAGAGTGATTATAAAATTTCACTCAATATGAAATTGTTTCTTTGTAACTTATGTTTACCACACTAGGCAAACAATTGTGATGGATGAATAATTTGTTCTTTGCTTATAACGATAATTTCAATTGAACATAGATTTTGCATTTTATTTTTTGTATTTTAATATTTTTTAGTGAGATTTAAACCAAAAATGATTAATTTAAAGACTTGAGGGCATTTTGATGGTAGAGACTCCTTTGATTAAGATTTTTTTTTTTCAATACAACTATCCTTTGAGTATATAAATGTTTGGAGTAATTATATTTAAAATGTAAAGCATAATTTTGAAAGCAACCTCTCTAGTTATGACGTGCAATAGACCACGCTCATCATAGGAGTACTTTTAACAATTTTATTTTGTTGCCTTGAATCTTATTGATTCTTTTTGCTTGCTCGTAAAGAATTGAGTCAAGAATTTACATGTGTTCAATTTATATAAAAAATCATCGCACCGTAGACCTTGCGACTCTACCTTATAGTATAGAAGGTCAAATCAGTGAAATGGAATTTATGATTGTTCTTTATAATTTGGAAGTAAACATTCATATTAAAAAATAAAATAAAAATTGTTCGTTAAAAGCATTGAAGGCCATATTTAAAAGGAAGATAAAATATATTGAATGAATTTTACAAATGAGTATCAAATTTTAGATCCATGGTGATGAGTTTGCCATACTAGACTATGCAAGAAGAACTTAAAACCATTCTTCAAGAAAAATCATATCAACTCTAGTTTTTGTGATATGAAAAATTAGAAATTAGTACTTACAATCTTATCTTGCAAGTAGTATAGCCCATTAGTGAGCTTGGGCATAACAAGTTGATGAGAAAGAGAACATAAAGTTCAAAATGATTATAGATCTTTTTGATGCGAGATAGATTTGATTCCTTATTTTTAATCTGTGCATCTGTTAAACTCATTTTGAGGTCATTATTCTTTTCCTTAGGATCCTACTAGGATCTAGCTCTATCTAGCTCTAGGAGTTCCTATTGATCATCTTAGAAAACTAGAATTGGGACCCACCCTTTTTAGAAATTTAAGCCATCTCCTATTTCTCTTATGATGTCTCGCCTGAGTGATCTCAAACCATCATCTTATGGTCGAGTGGTAAAGGACTATTATGTGGATGCTCAAGAAGAAGTTCCTAATAGGATCTCAAGCCCTAGAAAAACCATTTCAGGACTTTATCATCACACATGCACACCAAATGCACAAAATTCACTAAGTCGCACAAAATCGGGCCTAAATTGGGCTTAAGGATGGGTGAAAATGCGAACTTCTCCAGACGACTTCCGACGACAAAATGGACTGCGCCAACGTGTCCGGAACACCAATTTTTGTAGGAAAATATACTCATATTGTCATATTTTCGACACGAGTAAAATTGCACGCAAATCGATGAATTCGTCAAAACAACTTCCAATGGTGAAACGGACCACGTTGGCGCGGTCCGGAACATCAAAATTACCTAAAATAGACACCAATTTTGTTATGTTTTGACACACAAATAAAAAGTAAGAATCGAATTTTATTTTCAATGAATTAAATATTTTATATATTTTATTACTTGTAATATTAAAATTATAATCCTAATCCTTATTTTCCATTCTACCCACGCACTTAAACCCTCGTCTGACTCGTTCCATGGCTCGATCTCGTGGCTTGATCCCGCGGTACTCGTCCCACTCCCCTCGTGAGCCCTAGTTCCCGCGAATGATCCACGCGGGGATTTCTTCTCCCTTTCTCAAATCTTCCTCTGTCGTTCGCATATGCGGCTCGCCTCCTCGAGCTCCCCTCAACTTTTCAGCTCTTCAATTGCAAGAGGCGAGCTAACCGACCCTTCTCCTTCTCAAGGCTTTACTGTCTCCCTCTTTACTGTAGCAATTACTGCCTCGTCGTGTGATTCGTTTACTAGTGAGGCTGGTTGGTGGCTCTTTCCCCTCTTTTCTGCCTATAAAATGACTTCTTCGTGTATGGTTCTAGGTTGTTGAAATTTTTTTGAGAGAAAAGTGATGTTGTGGTTTTACTGTTAGAGGCTTTTAGAGAAGAAAACTGTTGAAATCTTTCCTAAGTTTGATTCTCGTGTGCTTGAAGTGTGGAGCATTCGTGAGGTGTTGTTTTCTGAGGCTTTTAGGAAGAGAAGCGTTTTCGAAATCCTCTCTAAGCTAGAATTCTCATGTGCTTGTGGTGTGGAGCATTCGTGGTGGTTGTTTCCTGAAGTCTTTTGGAGGAAGATTTCTATTGGAGTGGTTTTCTTGAATCATTCTTATAATTTTATTTTAAATCTGCT